TGCGTGAATAATACAGCTCGTTAGGAGTCTGGAATTTCAAATGATGCTTTAACACAGGGTGGTCTGAGGATCTCTGGGGTCCCCCAAGACCCTCTCAAGGTTTTACAAATTCAAAATTATTTGCCAGCCTCCACGGATTATTAAAATCCCATTGAACTACTGAGAAGCAGTAGTGACATCTGTCTGTCTGTCTCTCTCTCTCCCTCCCTCAATAAATACAACTCATACAAACAAAAACTCTTTTTGGGGGTTCTCCATAATTTTTAAAAGAGGAAAGGGATCCTGAGAGAAAAAAAGTGCAAGAAACATTGGTTTTAACAGGTTGTTTACGAATGTTCAGTGCGACACAAAACGCTGCAAGATTGTTCAAAATTCCACTTTTTGAACACATGAAGGCTTTAGAAATGACAAGTGATACAATGCATTACATACATAATCTCTAACCTCCAAGAAGTATGTTGTAGACAACAAAATAATGAAACTCAGCAGAGACATTAAATGTAATTTCATTCTTTAAGTAGTGTTGAATGGGGGGTAGGATGGGCCTGTTTGGGTTGCAACTTTCCATACTAAGGCCCAGCTAACTTACAAAGCAAACTGGCTTTCTTCCAAACTCAGCAAATATTATATTATAAAGCTTAGAGATTAAACATGAAAGAAAACAGAACTCCTAAGAAAGCACTATTTGAATTATTTGTAAATTCAATTGTCAGAGGAAACATCCAAAGCATGTTACAGTTCTACTAAGCTAAATCATCTCTCTTAAAAGTAGTTGCTTTTTCATCGGATTCCTTTTAAAATTAGTAATTCTGTCTATAAATTTCTTATGTTCAGCATCTAAAGTACTGACTTTACAATAAACTAATTTAGCCCAAGTTAAGGATAAAGTTCCACAGATGTTAATGGAACACAGTTTGCTTATTTTCTCCAGTTAAAAGTTTGGCCTGCTTGTACCCAGAATCACTAAACAAAAACTAAAAAAGATGAAGTGCTATGTTAAAAAAAGCTCCATTAGAAAGTTTGAAAACCATCTCACAAAAATAACCCAAAGTGTGAATATCTATTTGCAAAACGTTGCATCAATCCAGGATGATAAAATATAAATTTAGCTCACTCTTGCGAGCTAAACAAACACTATTTAAATCCAGTTGTTATTTCAGCAATAGTAAGTTTGAATACAAAAAAGCTTTCAGATCTTGACTTCACAAGGTATTCTGTGATTCTGTTCACCTCCTTTTAATACAGATCAAAGAAAACTTTTCAAACGCAAACCAATATGACTTAAAACAGAACTGTAGAACCTTTTCTTGGCATATATTATCAGAAACTTGCTGTGAACTCCACGAATTAATTGGCACCAAAATGCAGAGATTAAACTGGTACTATCTTCCTGAAACATCTCATTAAATACTGAATTTAGAAAGGACCACGTTTTCTTTACCCAGAAACATGAACTGGTTTTGTCTGTGTTGAAAGCTATTATTTTGCATATATACACAAAGATACATTTGGGGAGGGGAGACTAAAGTTGGAACAGGGAGCAAGTTTTGGTCCCTATCCTTTGGATTTATCCCTTAAAATATCTGCAAAAATCGAACGATTAAAAATTAAAATCATGGGCAGCTGGTATTATTTTTCTACAAAACAGACCATCCCAAGCTGGTATCTCTCCCAGTTGCATGTCACTACATGTTCCACACCACAACCACTATGCTAGTTGGGAATCAGGGGGGGGTTGTCCAGCATTTGGGGAACACAGGATAGATCCATGTGCAGGGTGACATGGATGTAAAACTGGATTTCAGCACCGAATTGCAAAATATCTGAGGCTTCATATAGTTTTGGGTTTTTTTTTTTTGCCTTGAATAGGCAAGCTAACCATCCTTTTGAACTCTTAACCCACGCCTGCAAGGATGGAAGGGATGTGCCATTAATTCTGCCCTCAACCATCATGGAAGACAAGGCTACACAGGACGGGCACTTGGGGCAACAAGTCGGACAGCCCACGTTGCAAACTTGGGACACGGGTTTAAAAAAAGGGGGGGGGGACCCAGCTTGCTTGCCACCACCACCATCCCTGCAACAATATCCAAGGCGTCTCAGCCCCAATGCAAACCTAGATTTTGCTGCATTCCAATCCCAGCCTCCTGGCCCAAATTGGTGGAGGGGTTTCACTAGCCAGGATTGCCCCCTTTCCAGCCCTCCCTCCCCCCAGCAAGGTTTTAGAGGGGGTTGTTTTGCATTGCCCTGCATTATCCACAATGGGATTAACCCGGGAATCCTGGGTTCACACGACACGTGTTTAATCTAGTGGGAAACGAACAGGGCTCTGAAGTTCTGGCCAGCCCCTCTCGGCTTCCGTCCCTCCTTCCCACCTGAGGCCTGTGCCGCAGGCTCAAGCCCAGCTCGCTTCCCGAGCTTGCCTTCCAAGCTCCACTCTCAGGCATTCCTCTCCTAACCAGCCACCGCTGCCACCACAGCCACCACCCCCGGCCGGGGGTTCAGGCCGGCGCCGCCAGGGCCAGGAACCGCGCGGCTTCCTCCGAAGGAGGCGAACGAATCGAGCGGAGCCCCGGCTTGCCGGAACCGGCGTTCAAACGGCCCGAGGAAACGGGATGGAGGCGATGCGGGACGGATCTTAGCGGGGACCCAAAGCGTCTCGTTACTCACCAGGGCAGCAAGATGGCGGAAAAAGGAAGGCGGCCGCGCGTGCGCGGGGTATTATGGGAATTCGAGGCGGCAAGATAACCAGGAAGGAGCGGATACACAGAGAACTTCCGGATCCAAGTCTTCCGGATTCCCCCCACCTTCCCGGGTCGGGAATGGATTGGAGACTATAGAGAATGGAAAGGCAAGAGGGGTCGATCTTTGTTTTTAGAATAGAATAGCGGAGTTGGAAGGGACCTTGGAGGTCTTCTAGTCCAACCCCCTGCTTAGGCAGGAAGCCCTCCACCACTTCAGACAAATGGTTATCCAACATCTTCTTAAAAACTTCCACTCTTGGAGCATTCACAACTTCTGGAGGCAATTAGTTCCACTGATTAATTGTTCTAACAATTAATCAGGAAATTTCTTAGTTCTAAGTTGCTTCTCTCCTTAATGAATTTCCACCCATTGCTTCTTTTCCTGCCTTCAGGTGCTTTGGAGAATAGCTTGACTCCCTGGCTCTGAAAAGGAGGGTTGCTTTCAGTTCTGTTTCAAAGCCACAAACTCCAACTAAGGGGATTTTTGAGGGGAAGGGGGGAGATGTAGAAATGTAAATTAAATTCAATGTAGAGAAAAGCAAAGTCTTGCACTTAGGCAAGAAAAACCAAAAGCAGACATATAAACTGGGTGAAACCAGGCTTAATAGCAGTAACTATGAAAGGGATCTTGGAGTCTTGGTGGACAACCAGTTAAATATGAGCCAGCAGTGTGCAGTATCTGCCAAAAAAGCCAACCCAGTTCTAGGCTGCATAAACAAAGGGATAGAATCAAGATCACGTGAAGTGTTAGTCACTTTATAATGCCTTGGTAAGGCCACACTTGGAATGCTGCATGCAGTTTTGATCACCACAATGTAAAAAAGATGTGGAGACTCAGTGCAGAGAAAAGCACTAAGGTGATTAGGGGACTGGAGACTAAAACATATGAAGAACAGTTATAGGAACTGGGCATGGCTAGTCTAGTGAAAAGAAGGACCAGGCGAGACATGGGAGCAATCTTCCAATATTTGAGGGGCTGCCACAGAGGGGAAGGGGTCAAGCTATTTTCCAAGGCACCCAAAGGCTAGACAAGGAATAATGGATGGAAACTGATCAAGGAGAGATTCAACCTGGAAATAAGGAGAAATTTTCTGACAGAACAATCAACCCATGGAACAAAAGTTGCCTTTGGAAATTGTGGGAGCTTCATCCCTGGAAGCTTTCAAGACTGGACAGCCATCTGTCAGAAATGGTGTAGGGTCTGCTTGAGTGAGGGGGTTGGACTAGATGACCTACAAGGTCCCATCCAACTGTTTATCTGTATCTATTTTTTAATGTAAGGGAATTGCAATGACAACATGGCTGCCCTGCATCCCACAAAGCTCTGCAGAATTCTAATAATTCTATGATATGAGTTACCGGTACTTTGTCCTGGGAATTTAAACTTCAGTTTGACTTAACTGTGTGAATGGTAGACTGTACTTTGCAGTAATTTTAAAGCAAGATTTTTCAAACTTGACAACTTCAAGATTGGTGGACTTCAATCACTATTTTAGGGAGAGAGAAATCACAAGTGAATTGTTCTTGATGAACTTCAGTAGCCACGTCGAACGAACCATGGTTTACTCAATCTAAATGTAATTTTGCAGAACAAGCTGAACCTATGCGGGTTGGAGATATGCAGCAGGCTAATTAAATGTGAGGTTGGCTTCTTGGTTGTTTTTGTAGCACAAAGAAATGTTTGGGGAATACTTCAATGATTTTTTTTTTAATTTAAAAGTCAGATGTCTATGGAGATTCTGTCCTCCAGTTCATGGGTTTGTCCCAAAGGTGCTTTTTTCAAGAGGCAACTGGACTTTCTGGTTTTTCTTTGAAGACGTTTCGCTTCTCATCCAAGAAGCTTTTTCAGCTCTGACTGGATGGTGGGGAAAGGAAGGATTTATACTCCTTGCAGACAGCTGGTCATTTGCATTCTCTGCAGAATGCAGAAAGTCCAGTTGCCTCTTGAAACAGCACCTGTGGGATGTTTAAAAGTCAGAGTTTTTAACCCGGATAGACCTTCTCTCATCTTAACTTCACGTTGTGTTCGAAGTGCAATTATAGAAATAAGCTGGGGTTCAACATTATTGACACAAAAATGGTGTCCAGCTTGTCAACAAGTAAAGAGCAAATTAAGAAAAAGTGAGAAGAAACCGAAATCATCAAGATCTCAGCGGTTTACTGTCCTGAGAGTAGCAGACACGTTTCGTTGGGGGATTTCTGGATAAATAACTAGAGACGGGGCTGGCATTGACCTTCAATAAAACATTACTCACATTTTTCTTCTGTTCACATTTTTATTCAACTTTTAGTTTCCTAAATATACATTAACATCCATCTATATTACACATTTAACACAAAGGAAAGGACAAAAAATGACCAGCACGCAAAACTTATCCTAACTTCCACTCCACATGTATCTGTCCTACTTTTTACATGTGGTGAGCTTTTTTCCTCTTACAATATCATTTTGCTCATTTAAAACACTGCATTACAATCCAAGAAAAAAATGATTAAAAAGAGAAGGGGAGTGACAGTAAATATAGCGTGTGCTTTTAAAAAAAAAATTAAAAATGACTTCTTCAAATCATTTTATCAAAACATTTTTTTTTTGTCATTTGCTTGTGCTTCTGCTATTGTATGTTTTACTACAATGAAAGGGCGCACATTTTAGAGAAATAAATTGCTCTGACGGGGTTCTAATCTCAAAGTCTTCACCCGACGAAGATACAGCCTTTCTTACTATAGGAACGTTGAGTAGTATTTAAGTATCTATCCAATATCTAAAAGTAAAGATGGCGTTAATAAAAGTGAAAGTCATTCCTACAATGTTGAACCAATTTGGCATCCTCAAAACGAAAAGGTTTCAATTGGTTTGGAGAAGCAGGATCTCAGCCAAGTTTAATTTCTCCAAAAATAAATTCTAATACCACAAACTGCCGTGAGTTTGGTATCCTATTGAAATTAATTTATCTGGAGCTCTGTGCAGCACTAAATAGATTCTAATAATTTTAAGTTATTACAACTGATTTGAATTAAATCTCTCAACCAAATATCTGCATTGCCAATATATAGGTAATAATTACCTTGGGCCTCTCTCTCATCCCGCACTTAACAGTCAAGCAACTGGTATCATTGGCAAAAGCAAATTTTGCCATGGAAAAAAGAATCAAGATAATTCAGATGTGCTTAAGCCCAGCAAAGAATAATACTTTTGACTGATCTGGCCAGTTTGTGTGTTGATCATCATCCAGTCCCTATGATATATTCGTATTAATTCTAGGCAAATAAAGGAAAAACACAGTTCAACTTACCCAGCCAAACCAATTTTGCCCAAAGCAGATTTTTAAAAATGTACTCCTTTATTTAATAGAAAACTGTAAAAATTTATACTGATGACTTATTAATTTGAAGGAGACAGATCTAAGGCAATAATGAAAAAGCATTAAATTTCCTAACAACCCTTATTTTGCTGGAAAGAAAGCCTAAATGTAATTTTTAAAAAAAACACAAAGTATTAAGTGTCCTCAAGACTGGTTTCAAACTGGGAATAATACTGTTCATTCATTTGAAATTATGAAATTTAGATTCATATTGGAGACAAATAGGACATAGTTTTTTTAATTCAAAATAAAAGCAAAATAGCAATAAAACAAAGAGAGAAACATGTTCACAAGATGGATGCATCAAGTATTTTTCAACACATTTTTTAGAATGTGTTGTTTGTTAAAATCATCAGAACACGACATCAAAATTACAGCAATTTAAACAAACAAACAAAAAAAGCTGATTTCGCTTCCTAAGCCTGTTTCCTGTATAGTTTCCAGTGCAATACATTTTTATTACGGAGATAGGGGTTAACTTGGATGCACAATTCTAGCAGCCTTGCTTATTCAAATCACTGTAATCCACAATTTAAAATACGAATTGTATTTGTTTAATCTGGAGGATATTGCCAAATACATCTGGTCAGTCCAGTGTGTGTGTCCATAAAACACTTAGAAGGAATACAGAAGTTTAGCTATCTTTTACACCGAAAATATTAACACGGGATAGCTCCACACAATTATAATCAGCTTAACCATCACCAATAATTATTGATCTCACAGCCTTATTACACTAGAGATTGCTAATCACACTTACTAGAAAAAGAATGACAGTCTGTGTTAACACACTGTATTTAATGTGGGGTTTGGGGACCATGTGGTTGGGAGTTGTACAGCAGAAAAGGGTCCCACGTTAAAGTTAAAAAAGGCAATGGCTGGTATAAGCACTTCTATACTATTAAATACGCAGCGAGTCATCTGAATTGTTCCCAGAACAGAATTATACATTTGGGTGAGGGAGCAAGCAACACTTCATTCGTTTTTCTTTTCTTTGTGCTTCAGGAGTTTGTTGACCTCTCTTTTTGCCATTCCAGCGTATTTGGAAATTACCCCGTGTTTGTTTAATCCAGGGAACAACAAGACGAAGCACACTTAAAAAAAAAAAAAAAAAGCAAAATAAAAACAAGTTATCATTTTAAGTCTTTTTCTGTTCCAAGTTTGTTTCCCGCATTTGCTAATTTAAATGTTCCCACTTGCTGGCAGAGGAAAACTACCGATTTTTTTTCCCCCAGGCCTGTCAGCTTTATCTATTGCTTACCAACAAGATAAGTGAGGAAGAGGTTATGAACTTGCTGTCCTATCCAAGCGATCACAGCTAACAAACACACCATAGTTGTGAAGTACTAGAAGAGAGATCATAATCATTATCAAATACAGCTTCTGAAGGCATTATAAAATGCTTTATTCAGTTCAGCAGTTCTTCCTGGCTGTTAACAAAATAAATACGGATAGCTCATTGGCTCATTCTGGGGAAGATTTTATTTTACGTACTGATTCAAAGAGATGACAATCTGATTATCCTCAAAACATAAATGCATAAAAATCCTGTCAGGGACTCCTGGTAAAGTTATTGCTATCAAGTAAAAACAAAATATAATTATTAGATGGTAGGTACACTTTTTAAAGTCCGCATTTCAAAACTTACATTTAAATAAAGATGGATGCCCGTTAAACAAATGCAAATCAGGTGCAGCGATTAAAGCCTTTGATTTTATTGTCCTAAAGGTGCTTTTTCAAAAGGCAAATTCTCATCCAAGGAAGCCTCTTCAGTTCTGTTCAGTTTTTCATGAACTGGAGAAGCTACTTGGATGAGAAGAACTGAACTGAAGTTTTTGGATGAAGTTAGAACTGAAGAAGCTTCTTGGATAAGAAACAAAATGTCTTCAAGGGAAAACAAAGGAAGTCCAGTTGCCTTTTGAAAAAACATTTTTGGGACAACCATGACATGGACGACTGAAAATTTCCATAGACTTTGATTTTACTACACAGACTGTAATCTAGACTGAGTTAATCATGTTATGGGATTGGAACACCTTCCGAAAAACAAATAAATTACCATTTTAGGCTTTTCTTCCTTAAATGTGAAGAGGCGTTTCCACCAGCCAATGATTTTGCGACGTGTTTTCACCAGGTTGCTGCAGATTTCATGGAAGCGCTGCTGTTGTTCAGTTGTCCTTTAAGAAAGTTTTCAAAGCAAGACACTGATACTTTTCCTCTCCTGAACAAAACATTCAACCCTGCATACACATTCATCCTTCATTTACTCTCCTTCCATTTTTCCTACACCCACAAAGTATCTCCTTAGCCTTTTTACCCCTGGCTATTATCTGTTAGAGGTTTTCCATACATTTAAGATCTAAGTTGATCCAATATATTCTCTATAATTTTCTGTATTTTATAGAACCTGCATCAATTTGCACTGACCACATAGGGATGAAGAATGTATCACAAACTGCAAGCTGAAGTTTAATTTAAGATGGTAGTTTCCCACTGAATATTTATTTGGTTCGTATCCTACTTTTTGTAACAGGAACTCAAGGGGTTAACATACATAGTGCTCCCTCCTTCCATTTTATTTAGTTGGGTCAGCAAACAATGATTTGCAGCAGGGAAGTCCCTTAGCTGCATTATCTCAAAATGTTCTGAGACTGCTGTTTATGAAGTAAGCAAAATAAGAAAGAAAAAAATCAAAGAGGAGATTGACTCAACCCAGGGGTGGGCAACTATAATAACTTTACAACCAGAGGACTTCAACTCCCAGGATTCCTGAGCGAGCAGGAATTGGGAGCTGAAGTCCACAAGTTGTAAAGTTGCCCACCCATGACTCAGGCCAATGGCCATGCTGGCAACAGTGGGAAGTCAGGAGTAGGTAGATTATTTTCACAAAGGGCTGTTTATTCCCAAGTACCAACACATACAGTTCACACAGCAAAGGGCTGATCAGCGCTCCTTTCTTTTCTTGAGTGATTTTTTGATTTTATTTCTTTTTAAAGAGGAACCATTCGTGGATTTTAGTATTCAAACATACCATTTACTGGAGCCAAAGATTCTAGGAGCAAGAGCAGGTACAAGATAGTCAGCCAGACAAAGCAACATGACAAAGCAGGAAACACCTGAAAGAACAGAGGGGTCCAAATAGTAGATCAACCTGTTGAAACAAAGGGAAAATTGAGATAGTAATTCAACAATTAAAGCAAAACGTATGTAATCCAAACGAGACAGGCAGACCTGCAACTTACCCGACCTTGGGCCATAGAGGACCCGGTGAATAACAACCAGCACTTTTGAATTACACTCAGAAGCCTACTGAAACCCAGCGTAGTTTCTTCAGTTGTGAGGATACCTAAGCATACTACGGTAAGTTATACTCCTAACTAATCTGTTGCATTCTGGACCAGCTGCCACTTCCAAACAGCCTTCAAGGGCAGTCCTATGTACAGCACATTGCAGTCATCCAAACATATCTAGCTTGCCGCCTCATGTCCACTTCCTTAAAACCAACAAGTTCAAACGAGGTAATCAAGTTAGACTGTTGTATACAAGGCAACGTTCAGTTCAAACCAGATTCAAGCAATTTTATCCATTAGACACCTCAAATAGAAGGGACAGCAATTCAATTTTTAATTAAATTTTAATTTAGAATCAGATTAATTTTAACTAATGCAACATTTCTCGTTGCATCAGAATTGATCCAGTATTTGTTACCAATCATTTGCTGGGTTCTCAGCCAACAATATCATCTGCGTGCGAAATTACAAGTCACATTCATGTTCTACAAACACACCTCCAACATCTCCACAAGCACTTGTAATTAAATAACATGAAATTCTACCTACCTCCTAGGAGGCAAAATACAAGGATTAATATGCATGGTGCACTTTAATTAAAAATTGCAACTGATATGTAATAACGAGTGCATTGGAGGGAGAGGGAAAGGGGCAGGTACAAGTACAAGTACAGCTCTGAAAAAAAATTGTTTTGCAACGTATCTTGTTTCTGCAACAGAAACATAACTTGACTAATGGGAGAACAAGCTTAGCAGGTATTAGGAGGGAGCTGAAGCAAAGAGAAAACCTATTGGACTTTGAAAGACACAGAAGTTCATTACCAACCTGTCAAAGAAACTAGGACTGAATTGTAACAATTGGTATCCTCTACAACCTGATATTCTCTAAATGTATTGTAATCCATCACCCCCAGGCAGCATTATTTTTAAGACTTACAAGCCTACATAAACGTCTCAAACAAAAATGGACATTAAAGTATCAGAACTATAAATCCTGCTAAGATTTCTATATTTGTTTGTGAATATCGCTGCTATAAATTAAATGAATGGTAGATTTAGCCACTTAAAAAAAAATCTAGATTCAGTCACTGATGGCTCCCACTTCTAATTTTTTTAAAAAGCAAGTATGTTACAAGGGGCAAGTTGTATAATCTATTTTGACACTTAAAGCAGCTACATGTTTGCAAACAGAATTCACTGCCATCCAAGAAAAGATTCCTCTGGGATAGAAAGGCTGTTCAGTGAAAAAAACGGGTTCAAAAAAGGTTTTCCTACAACCCTCGGACCCAGCTGCTACGTGTTTAACACCGGACATAACTGCAGCCGTGTGATTGATATCACCTTTACTATGTCTCTGGTACAACACAGGGCTGGGAGACTGCAAACAGTTGCCAAATAAGGAAATGTAACATTGTTGAGTTCTTAGAATGCTTGTACTTAAATAAATTATTCTAATCTCTTTTAACTTCATCGTGTGATTTCTAGTCACGGCAAAGTTTAACACAAGCAATCTGTTCTTTCCAAATTCAGATTTTATGCTGCTATTGCGGATTCCCCCGCCCCCCACTTTTGGCAGCAGTTTATATAAGCCAGGGCTCTTACCCTGAATGTGTTCTAAGGGAATAGTACCAGCCTTTCCCGTATCTGCAATCAGTCATGCATCTTATTTCATAAGTTCTGCTGAGAGATCAGCTGCCTTCGGCTTACTTCAGCTGTCACTCAGCCAGCAGGTCTTATGTCAGGAGTTCAGTGAAGAAAAACAGGCTATTGTGTTACCTCTGTTGAGAGACCAAACTCTCCTCAAATCTCACAAAGCAGCCATTCTGTTAAGCCTCCTCAACTATTTCTATACTAACTGGCTATACAGGTAGTCCTCAACTTACAACAGTCCATTTAGCGACCGTTCAAAGCTACAACAGCACTCTAGAGTCACTTATGACCATTTTTCACACTTACAACCATTGCAGCATCCCCATGGGCACTTAATCAAAATTCAGATGCTTGGCAATGGACTCCTATTTGTGACGATTGCAGTGTCCTGGGGTCATGTTTTGCGACCTTCCGACAAGTAAAGTCAAGGGGGAAGCCAGAATCATTTAATAACCATGTTACTAACTTAACTTCTTTTAAACAGCTGTGGCAAGGTCTTAAAATGGGGCAAAACTCACTTAACAAACGTCTCACTAAGCAACAGTAATTTTGGGCTCAGGTGTGTGTGGTTGTAAGTTGAGACTGCCCGTAATATGAAGTGTAAATTTACAATCTGGTTTGTAAGTCCGTCTTTTTTTCCCTCCCATCACATCATTCTTTCTGTAGTATGTCTTATAAAAAGTACCAGTCTACTAATAGAATATTCTAAACTGGCCCAAATCCTAAATTCCAGTCTATTTCAGGTGTCGGAAGATTCTCATTTTGTACACCTCCGTTTGGTACTGATATTTGCAAACCATTTTCAGAGCCCTTCTGCTTAAGAGGACTAAATCTTTTGCACACCTAATTGAAATTGTGGCGTCAATTTATGAAACAGTACTAGCACCAAGTTTGCTTTAAAATGCAGATTAGTTTTAGAGAAACCCCTTCTCATTATTTGTTTTGCTCTTTCCCGATTTCCCAGCCAATCTTTCTTTTAAAGAAAATTAAGACAGCACCCTAAGTCGACCCCAAGACGTTCTGTGGCAGCCTACTTTTAGTTACATAAATAAACCCTCTTCACTTTGGTATAGCACTGAGGTGTCTTGAAAACATACCTACTAATTTAGTTAAAAGAGTTGTTGGAAAGTAATGTTGAAGTGATGTAACTTACAGAAAGATAAGAGACACGACCGAAAGCATGGCAGCTGGAAACCATGTTTTTTCCCAACGAAGGATCTTGTCAGTCACCAGAATCACTTCACCCCATCCCTGCAACTGTTCTTCCAAGCCAGCTGTCTCTGCAGCCTGCAGCAAAATATTAAAAGGTACGTACATTCCATAAGCAGGACATTTTTAAATAATGACGTCTGCAAGATTTATTTCTTGATGTTAAATTTAGAATAATTTATAACTGAAGACTTGTAATTTCAAAAAAAAAAAAAAGGTGAAAGCTATGAGTTTAGCTAAATGTTGTGTACCTGACCTTGCTGAATCACTGAAGCAAATTTGGTACCCTTAACAAAACATCTTGCTTGTTCCTCTTCCTATTATCATAGCTAGCTTAGCAAGTATCGCAGAAAAACCACAGAGGAAGATCTACAGTTCTATCAGAAAAACCAGCAAAATGAAACTCATGTTCTTTCTTTTTTTTTTCTTTAAATAGCTCTGGGCATATATTAGTTCAGCAAGCAAGAAGTACATTGTGATCACATTTGCAGAAAAGGGATATGGTGGGTGTTATATAATCCAACAGGAAGACATGTAAGGAAGAGCTGCCAAATGCTGCATTTTTCAAAGTGATTCCTTCTTAAGGTTCTATCACCTTCGGTGATCTTGTATGCATGCAGGCTTTCACAACAACTGTCAATCAAATGGCAACGAGATTCCTAAAAAATGGGCCTGGGAAGTGAAAGTGGTTATGCTCTGTAGCACTCGTTGGCAGCCCACATGCAAGTAGACAGCCAGTTTGGTGTAATGGTAAATATTCTGACCGAGAAACCAGATGAGTGTCAGCTTTAGGCTTGCCTTGGGCATGTCCAACATAATCTAATAATCGTCATTTCCAAGGAAAGCTGGTATCCTCCAAACAGTTGGAGGTCACCACTCCCACAATCCTCAGCCTGCTTCAGGGAATGCGGCCCTCCAGGCATTATCTCAAGACCTGGGAAGAATAACTCCCATAAGAACCAGTCTGGTGTAGGGGTGAAGGTGCTAGAAACCAGGAGACGGTGAGCTCTAGACCCATTTTAGACATGGAAGCAGCTGGGCGACTTTGAGCCAGTCCTTCTCTTAACCCCCCTGCAGGTGGTGGTCATAGGGGGAAAAAAGGCAGCAGGAATATTAGGCATGTCTGCCTCCTTTACAAAGAGATCGGGCAGCCATTTGTCTGGAATGGTATAGTCTCCTGCTTGAGCAGGGGGTTGGGCTAGAAGACCTCCAAGGTCCCTTCCAACTCTGTTATTCCGTATTCTGTAAATCAGGACAAACTTGCATTCTAGTGGGAAAATATGTCATCATTTAAGCCTCGATAGCTCTCTGAAATATTTCCATGCCATTTGAGTTAAGGTAGGATGTAGAGCTAACAGCAAAACAGAACACTGATATGTGGCTATCCATTTGCGTTATAGATTTAAAAAGTGGGATAAAAACAGGATAATGTATGTTGTGATATGTTTAGTAGTAGTCCTCAGCTTACAACCATTACTTAATGACTGAAGTTACAATGGCAATGAAAAAAGTGACTTATGATCGTTTTTCACCCTTACGATCATTGCAGCATACCCGTGGTCTCATGATCAAAATTCGGAGGCTTGACAACTCCCCTTTTGGGACCTTCTGACAAGCAAAGTCAATGGGGAAGCCAGAGTCACCTCACAACTGTATTACTAACTTATCAACAGCAGTGATTTACTTAAGAACTGCGGCAAGAAAGTCACAAAATGGGGCAAAACTCACTTAATCACAGTCTAACTGAGCAGTGGAAATTCTGGGCTCAATTGTGGTGATAAGTCGAGGGCTATCTGCATTTATGTTGGGGGAAAACAACCTCGGGCTATTTAAAAGATCTTGGAAACTTCCAGATTGGCTTTGCCATTGCAGGCTATCTGGAAGGCAGGAAACAACGAAACTGGTCTGGCAGGGCTTTATCAAGCAGAACTAGAATAGAAAGAAAAAGAAAGAGAATAGAAAACAGAAGAGAATAGAAACAGAAAATAGAGAGTGGAGTAGAATTGGATAGAATAGGAATAGAATATAGAGAATGGAGTGGAATAGAATAATATAAATAATAGGAATAGAATATAGAGGATGGAGTGGAATAGAATAATATAAATAATAGGAATAGAATATAGAGAATGGAGTGGAATAGAATAATAGAAACAATAGAAATATAGAGAGTGGAGTGGAATGGAATAAAATAATAGGAATAGAATATAGAGTGGAGTGGAATAGAATAATAGAAATAGAATACAGAGAGTGGAGTGGAATAGAATAGCAGAGTTAGAAGGGACCTTGGAGGTCTTCTAGTCCACCCACCCCCCTCCTCAGGCAGGAAATCCTATACCAGTGATGGCTAACCTTTTTGCCGTCGCGTGCCAAAAGCGGGGGGAGTATGGGGGGGTTGCGAGTGCAGGTGCCAACATCCATAATTCAATGCACCCCGCCCTCCCGCGCATGCGACCCCCCCATTTCCCCCTGCTTTTGGCACGCGATGGCACGGTGGGCCCGGCAGGCCCATTTTTCCCCCTCCCCAGGCTCCAGAGGCTTTCTAGGAGCCTGGGGAGGGCAAAAGCAGCCTTCCCCATCCCCCCAGAGGCCTTCCGGAGGCCAGAAACAGCCAGTTTGCCGACCTCTGGTGGGACCAAAAGGCCTGAAAATCAGTTGGTTGGTGCATGCATGCGCGCTGGCGCTGAGCTAGGGCAATACTTGCGTGCCCACCAAAATGGCTCCGCGTGCCACCTGTGGCACCCGTGCCATAGGTTCGCCATCACGGCCCTATACCCTTTCAGACAAAGGGTTGTCCAATCTGTTGCGAGACTTTTTTAATCGTTCGGGGATTTTTAAATTGATTAATTTTAGTATTGCATTGTTGTATTGTTTTTATCTTGCGAGCCACCCCAAGTCCTACGGGAGAAGGGTGGCATATAAATTTAGATAGATAGATAGATAGATAGATAGGTAGGTAGATGATAGATAGATAGATGATAGATAGATGATAGATAGATGAATAGATAGATAGATAGATAGATAATCTTCTTAACATTTTCCAGTGTTGGGAGCACTCACCATTTCTGGAGGCAAGGAGGGTGTTGGGAGGCTCAGTTTGCATAACTCCCGTGTCCATTACAAGCTAAGCAAACCCATGGGGCACAACCTACTGCTCTGTCTGGCAAGGCCATCCCTCTCTTCCTTCTCCTCCCCCACCCACCCACCCACCCCCACCCCCCTTTTCCAAACTGTTAATGCAAATCCAGCCCCGTGTCGAGCGAGTCAGTTCCCTCGGCTATTATTATTTTTTTTTTTAAGGGGGGAAAAACCACCAGGCAAGGCGGGACGGAATGCCGAAAGCAAACCCCCCCCTCCGCCCCCCACGGGGGAATACACGCATCTAACGCGCGCGCACGTTCACACGTCGGGGAGGGGGCTCTGCGGACGTTCTGCTCTTTCCTTTCCCTCCCCCCCCCACCATCTTCCACGCCGTCTTGCGCAACGGTTTGAGAGACTGAGGCGGCGTCTGGAAGGGGAAAAAAAAGGGGGGGCGCCTCAGGCAGAGACGCCCCAAGGCTAACCAGCCTTCGTTTCTTTCCCGTCCGCCTCAGACGGGCTTCTTTGGCCGCAACCGCCTGGGCTCCGGGCAGCCGTTTCCTTCCTTCCTGCCGTCGCCCCTGCCCTTCCTCGCTCGGCCCCGCGTCCGCTTCCTTCCCTTCTTCGGTCGCTCGCCGCTTCCCCCCTCACCCACCAGCAGGTTGGTGCTCCGGTTATCGCCCTCCGCCATTTTGTGCGGCAGCCGCAGCAGCGCGCCTCGTCGTCCCGTCGCTCCCTCTGGCCTCGCGCCGCCACGCCACGCCCCCCTTTTTTTTTTCCCCGAAGCAACCGCGCCTCCCCACGCCTCTTTCTTATTGGACGGGAGAGCTATCCGTTTGCTCGGAAGGCGGGGTCGATCTCCGGCTCTCTTTCCTTTTCTGCCGTTGGTCGGGTTGGCGCGTGAAGGTGGGGGGGGGGAGGAGGAGGAGGAGGAGGCAGACAAGCCCCGCCCTCGGGGAGGAGGAAAAAAAAACAACGCCTTTTAACGGCTGAGGGAAGTCGGGACGCCCGCAAGGGGGCTTGAACTTCAGCCCCCATAAGCCCCAGCCAGCGGGCATGATGGGAACTGTCCTCCTGCCTTTTGAATCGGCTTGCCGTCTAAGTAACTTGTACGCCCGTTGGGTGGCTTGGTGAAGAAGAGAGAGAGAGGTGCTTTTGACTTGTTGCAAGACAAAAGTGCCTTTAAAGGCGGAGATGGATGATGTTACTTAGATGGGTGATGAAACGTCTGCAAGAAAACAGCCAAGCTCAGAGAGCACCAAGGACTGGACACTTTTAGAGGACGCGATTCCTTTACTAGCAAAATTTCAGTTGGAAGCTTCCCAGAGTGGGAAGATGCTTCCCAATGCAAGCTTACTACTTTTATTTATTTATTTATTTATTGAATTTCTATACCGCCCTTCTCCCGAAGGACTCAGGGCGGTGAACAGATTAAGATTTCATATACATATAATTTTTTTTTTTTTAATAAACAGTAAATAATAAATTGAGTCAACTTGGTGTATCTGCTAAGACCTTGGCATAGAATTTAGATGTTTATGCTAGCCCTGCTTGTCGGAAAGTGGGAAGATCTGGGATTATTCGTACTCCAGGGGGTATTTTGTTCCAAAGAGTAGGCGCTCCCACAGAGAAGGCTCTCTCCCTTGGAACTACTAGACGACATTGTTTTAATGATGGTACTATGAGTAGGCCTACTTTTGCGCGTGGCCAAAAACCAGAACCTGCATTCAACAGGAAAAGGATGTGTACCTAAAAGCAAAGCACAACGGGAGGGTGACGCAAACTAGGTTTTCACCTTGTATTCGTGTATTTTTGTGTTTTTAAAGGATGTAGTCCTGACCTCCAAGTGGGCAAAACTTTCTACACTGCAAAAAGGCTTGGTGGGTGGGTGAGAAAACAGTAACTTTTGTATAAATTCATTTGTGATTATGCATTCCAAAGGGGGGGGGGAAACATACCTTTAACAATGGTTCATGCAACATCCTCAAGTAAAAAATTAAAAAATAGCCGATTGGAAATGAAGTTTGTTTTTTTTTTTTACTCCAAATGAGCAACGTGTAAAATCAGATCTTCCAGGAACAAAACTTTCTGAAGAATTCCAAAGCCTTGTTCCTCTTCTACTCGTGCCAACAACCTGCCAATCTTCGAGATCTCTGAAGCACCAAATGTCACTGGCACATTAGAGGATTTACCTCCAAAAAGCTGAAATCTGGAACAGGCAGTGGAAGAACAAGAGATTGTCTTTTCCAAATTAAGTCAGAGATATGACAGGTGTTCCTATATATCCGGTGTATACCTGGGAATTTAGAAACTCTGTGCGATAAGACATACTAAAGTTTCAATCTTTTCCATGATGGGATGAGATTTTCATAGTATTCCAAGTTGGTACCAAGTCACCCAAAGATGCTCATAATCCTCCAGTAGAGAAATCCCAAAAGTGCTTTTTCCTCCCCAAAAAAAGCAATTGGATTCTTGCTTTTTTCTTTGAAAACATTTCACTTCTCATCCAAGAAGCTTCTTCAAGTTCTAGTTAAACTAAAACTAGTAGAACTAAAGAAGCTTCTTGGATGAGAAGCGAAAGTTTTCAGAGAGAAAAACCAAGAATGTCCAGTTGCCTTTTGGAAAAAGCACCTTCACGACAACAATGACCTGGATGATTGAGAATCTCCACACACATCCAGTAGAGCAGCTTTCGTACTCTGAAACTTGTTTCCAAAAGAAAGAAACAAAGCCATACAGAGAATTAATACAGGTAGATTTTTTTTTAAATTTTTATTACATTATGCAGTAAAGATCCCGTTCGGTACAAGTTTCATTTTTGAACAAAAGTATACGCATACATGAAATATGGGTGTAAGTGGCCTGTTCCACTCACAGCTTCCAAGAAATAAAATATGTAATCCTCTTAATCCCAACTGTTGTCCATACGCAGACTGCTGGTTAATGATGCTTCACGCTGGGAAGGATAACAACACTGCAGTCGCCAGCTGGATGAATTCCGACTCGGCTTTTTAAGAGAAATTCAGTCGTCTTTTCATTTTTGCAAAACGTGGCAAAGGGGTTAAAAGTATCAGATCCAAATACATTTACTCACAAGCATTAGCAAATATGTTGGCAGTTGCACACGACAACTCAGGGAAAGTTACCAAAAAAAAAAAGACAAAAAGAAAGACAAAAAGCCTGTATGAAAAATAGATAACAGCATCAAGTCAATCTTTAGATATTTTTGAGGAGGTTGAAAGGTTTTTCTCCATAACAGCATCAAGTCAATTCTTTATCAGATAGCCCTAACGAAGCCAAAGGGCTTTCTACATTATAAAATACTGGTAATGATCTTTTTTTTTAAAAAAAAAAAATCTCCTTATTTATGTCATAGGCTGTTTTTAAAAGAGAGGCCTAAGCATTACCTTTGATGAATAGGTGGGCGTTACTGTACAGGAATATTTCCTCCTCCCATGAAAAGCTTTTTTTTTAAATCTTCAAAATACTACAGAGACAATGTGCAGAATCTTGATTTGCTCTTTCAAATTAGATTTAAATTCACATACAGAGGTTGGGGTGGGAGGGGCGGGGGAGGAAGGATGTGAGCCCTTCGGGTGTCAAGTCCACGGACACCACCAATAAGTGAAATCAGGAAGCAACCTGATTCTTTTTTTCCTTAGGCAACACTAAAACCAGCTCGTGAGTAACGAATTTTTTTATTTCACAGCCACGCAAAACACTGAAGATGTATGGAAACAGACTGGTTTAAAGTGCCTTTTTAAAATACGCAACATCTCTCACACCCACCATTCAAAAAGTGCACGGTAGATTTAGGAAAACGGGTTGGGGGGGAAAAAAAACCCCACTATGAAATCTATTATACAGAACACCACCTCTCGGAAGTCTTAAATGGAAAAATAACGCCACACAAAACCTTTATACGATTTTATCTGAAAAGAACCCGCCTCCCTTCCCCCACCCCACCCCACAAAGTCCAGTTTATACGTCTGCCTTTAAATCCCCAGATCGAATCGAAAACACTCTACGTCCGTGTGTAAATCAAAAATTCGAAGTGAATCAGCATAAAACTACCTCCACTAAAACTTCACTTTTATTGATTTTTTTTTTCTGTCAACAACATAAAATAGGCTACTTAAGATATTGTAAGTTGCTTTCGTGTGTTGTGTGTGTTTTTTTTTTCCCCTTCCTCATTTGCAAAAGGTAAAAAGTTACATCGGAGTAGCTTACGTTTACAAAAGAAACTACAGCAAATCACAACAGAATGAGCTCGGTAGGCAGGCCGAGGATTGAATTAAACAAAGGAGTACGCACTGCAAGCAGGAAGAGGAGCAGATGGACATCGGATGCCTGTTCAGTGTGTTATTTGAAATGCACAGTGAATCCGGGGAAACTGTACATGATAGGATCACCAAAAGGAAAGCAGGAAAAAAAAAACCCTCGCTTTAAAAACCAACCCCCCAGAAAAATGGCATTGGATCAGCCCATTCAGAAGGCAATGGCTTTAAAATGTTCAGCCTTCCCTGTGCTTTTTTATTTTTATTTTTTGGGAAAATTTGGCTCGCCCAAAACAAAAAACAAAAAAAGAGATTCCTTTGACTGAAAGAGTGAATTACCAAGGATTTGAAATCAACGCTTCTCTGGAAAAAGAAAAAAAAATAACCGAACTAAGTTATAGAGAAGACACCAGGGGAGGAAAAAAAAGAACTCGAAAAAAGACCAAAAAATAAAAAAATAAAGACAAAAGGCTCTCTTCTCAGAGGGTTCTTCCAATACAGCTGATGTACAGCTTTTTTTTTTTTTTTTGCATTTCAGTCTATTTCTGAAGTTCATCTCTTGTAGCTGTTTATTTTTTTTTTCCTCCTTTTTTTTTTCCTTTTTTAATTTTTTTATTTATTCGTTTTGCACCAACTGGTCGACTCAACCAGCGCCGTTGCTGAGCAACTAAGAGCGACAAGGAACTCAAATCTCTCAAATCTTCCTTTGCTGCAGTTTCTTCACGCCCTGCCCTCCTTTCCTTTTTTTTTATTTTTTTATTTTCCCCCACCCGGGGTGGAGGGGGAAGAGGGTGCGCACTTGTTGTTGTCGTCGTGGTCGTCGTCGTTGTTTTTTTCCTGCATTGTTCACAGGGTCAGGTGGAACTGAGTTCCAAATCACTCTGCGGTCTGTAAGCGTTTCCCAAATTCCCTTTTTTCTGCAGCTTAGTCCCTCCCCAAAACCCTGGACACCTTTTGCAGTTCTTCTGGAGCAGAAAGACGGCCCTGCGTGTTCAGGCGATGAGCTTCCACACTCTTGACCTTGGAGGGGGGGGGGGGGGGGGGAGAGAGAGAGAGGGGGGGGGAGGATGGGGGAAGGGGTTTCCAGGCCATTGTGTTTAGCAGATCCCTGAGTGCAGCTACTCTGCAGGGCTGACGTTCCCAGTGCACCGAGATTGCTGAGGTCTCCTCACAGTAAGCCCCAGAAAGGCGTTACCACCAGCTGTGGGTGCTGCTATGCATGCCTGAGGCCCGGTTGATTCTGATGGATGCCGCTCGCCTCGCTGAACCAAACTGACCCGAACTCTTCCTGTTCATACCCAGGCTGTCCAACCTTCATACAGCTGAGCCAAGTTATCTAGATTAGTGGCTTCCTTAATCACATAGTCAACCTAAGGAATGGCAAGTCAGAAAGTTAGAGCCCTCCTGAGCAGAGAGACGACCGGCCGCTTTGAACGTTTGATTAGAAAAAACCCAACCCCCGATGCTCCCTAGGAGAAAAAAAATAAAATAAAAATCAGCTTTTA